AAAAAAAAAAAAAAAGCCATTCGTCCTTAGATCAACTTTATGTGTGGATATGTGGACATCATCATCATCAAAACAAATGTTTAAGATACAAAAGTTCTAGGCCCTGTCCTAAAGGCTTTACAAAAAACCACTAACTTAATCCTCATAACAACCCTTGAAGAAAAGTAACATTAACATCTCTGTTTCACAGATAAGTAAAATGAAGCACGGGGATGCTAAGTAATACAAATACCAAGTGGCACAGAGCTATGATTTGATGCCAGTTATGCCTCCAGAATCCCTACTATGAACCACTTCTCAAGCTGCTTCTCAAATGTAGGCCAGTGACTGTGATTTCACATCACTTGCTTAAAGTAGTAATTTTTTCTAACAAAATTGTTCCTAGTGTACATGATGGAATTAAATACATCAGCATTACACAGCTTTCTGAAAAGAACACTAGGTATTCCACCATCTAAAAAAGTTTCTGAACCAACAAATATAATGAAATCAGATTTGTGACAAAAATGTGCCAAATGATATGAAAACACAGAGGACAATGAAATCATCTTACCAAACCGGTAAGGCTTTACCAAAAAAGGAGAACATATGATCTAGAGTTTGAAGAGTAGTTAGATTTAAACCATCAAATCTATTTAGGCTGTATTTCTAGCCCTCCCTTCTCATCTAAACGCCAGCCCTATAGCAGGTGTAACAGTCATGTTACATGACATGTTGTGTAACAGACATGTCCATTTTCATGCCCTACACACTTTTTCTGTATAGGGTCAAATAATAAATATTTTAAGTTTTGTGTACAACATACTGTTCTCCATTACACATTCTTCTTTTTTAAAACAACCCTCTAAAAATATGTAAAAACCATTTTTAGTTCATAAGCTATACAAAGACAGTCTGTCTCTCAGGCTACAGTCTGCTGACCACTGCCCTACAATCATCTCAAAATCAACAGGTACCTGGGGCGCCTGGGTGGCTCAGTCAGTTGAGTGGCTGCCTTGGGCTCAGGTCATGATCCCGGGGTCCTGGGATCAAGCCCCACGTCGGGCTCCCTGCTCAGCAGGGAGCCTGCTTCTC